CCCCCCCCCCCAAGTGCATTACATAATACTTGAACGGCCCCTACCCTGTAGTTGACAAAGTTAGTCAACAAAAGACTGTTCCTTTTGCCGGCTAGTTTTGATCTGCTATGAAATTTCTTCACTGATGAAGGTCGCATACGTTTGTGCACTTACACAACATTTACATTTGCATTTTAAATTTGTATGTTTGTGCTTAAAGAAGAAGCTAATGAAACTGACAGACATCCTTTTATCTAAATTTTTTACAGTTAAAAAACTGATTTTGTTTAGAAATGCAAGACACAAAGGATCTTTCTACATTTACAATCTTGTGATGAAATCGAATGAACATATTCGAAAACCATAAAAATCCTCAAGATCCAATATTCCAAATTTCTGGGCAGATTGCGATCAGCTCTGGCAAATCCCAATCTTTGTTTGCTCAGCTAAATAAATACAATAAATTGTTGCCATACTAAGTAAATCATGGCAGCGTCACCTAGCAGTTAGGAATTGAAAAAACATCCTATAACTTGGTAGAGACATGACCATGCTCCAGAAGGCTATACGCTGTAGCATTTGTTACAGTTATCGATATGATTTTCTGTTGGTTCATCAGACAGCTGCTGAGCCATGTGGTGGGATGAAATCACATTGATATGCTAGCTAAAGAGGAGATGACAAGCGTAGTCAGATAGCAAGTAAAAAGAAAAGAAGAAAATAATGATTTTGCAACAGAGGCACCACTTTTTGTGCTTATGGAGCAACTGTTGTGGAAATAGATTGAATAATTTGGATAGGTATTACCTGTGATGAAATAGGTAAAAATTGTCGAAAATAAACTTGAGCCTTGACAAGCCTTTTTTTTGGTTGCTCTAGCGCTAAGATTTGTCTGGAGATATCCTGCATCTTGCTTGATGAGTCCACGCAATAGTATTCCTCGATTGAATCTTCCCACACACCGTGGGAGGCCCTTTGAATAAAATTTATAAACGTTACAAAGTAAGAAACAGTGTCTTAGGCAAAAAAATATTATCGATTTACATGTCACACTGATAATTTTGTGCACTTACAAAGGGCAGCCTCATGATTTGCTGCTTTCAAGCAGAGACATGTCCTTAAACCGCACAAAGGCTTGGGCAAGCTGCCACGGTCGGAAGTAGAAACATGCACTGATGAAAAAGACGTAATGTCGGCATCTTTCTCTAAATTTGAGAGGCTTTATTCTTTCTAATTTGTGAGTTATTTTGAAAATAATCAAGGTTTGGTATAGCAAAAATATGCCTTCCTCTAATTTATGGAACTTGAGAAACTGTACAGAAAAATCTAGCACTCAGCAAAAATACCTCCATTTTAAAACATTGAAATCGATTTACTACCTACTTAATATGACACCAGTAGAAATCAGTTTTTCTTTTGAGAACCACAAATTTGAATTGATAAGCACCAAAAATTCTATTTTTTTTTACTAATGAGTGAAATTTGGACATTTTTAACACATCTAATAACCTTCGTTGTACGAAAGACGTACAGCCTTTTGTTTCAGACCGACTTGATATCCCATCTTATCTACCCAGCTCATGCGAGGCACTCTTCTATCAGCTAAATTTGTCCACTTGATAATGTGAGAAGGACTTCTGAAAAATGCACTATTAAAATAAAAAATTCCAGCATGTTCATTAATTTACCTTTGATAAGAAATCCCTTATTCGAGTGAAACTCATCCAGTATTTTCAAACTTACCAAATTACGGTGCCAACTCCAGATCCGAAGTCAAAAACTGATTTAGGCTGGAATGAAGGGTCCCTTTTGTTGATTTCAGCAAATATAGTGCTTACAATTGCGTATTCAGCCGCTGATCTTCCTACAAGATATGTATAGCACAAATAACCCGAGAAGTCCATTGCGGTCCAAATGTATGTATGTCTCAGGAGGGATTTAACTACTTCCTTCTTTGCCTTGTCAATCACTTTTGGACTCAACTTTTTGGCATTTGAAATATTATCTGTAAATAATTAAATTTTCATTGCAGAATATGCCACATCATGATTCACCGATAGACCAGAATCAAAAACGTACTTATTTATGAAGGTATAAATTTATTCAAAGGGCTATTTCTGAATTTGAAAACAAATTTGACCTATTTTTTGGTATTCCAGTTTTACACATAGATAGACGCTGCCAACCTTAACAATGATTTCTAGAGCTAACTTAGATTCAGCATGGCTGCAATTCACCAATAGAGAGATAAAATGTGTGTCATGGACCATTTTTTATACAGCATAAACTTGAATATGACAGAGGGATAAAGCTCGATAGGGAACTGATATATATAGCTAATTTTAGGAAGAATGTATGTGCCATTCATTTCCTTGTGCAGATACAGGCTTTTATGGATGAGCCAGAAAAAGTTGTTCTTCATTGCAAAATGAAATCCACCTTTCCTCAGAAAATAATGGCTGTGCCAATTAATCTTGAAAAATGTGTTCTGCTGAAGGTGCTTAGTCAACATAATATTTAGGAAAAAAGTGGTTGGATGAGAATCGTGGGATTTTGAGGACAGGGCGCATGAGTGCAGTTTTTGAAAAAATTGAAGTAGGTATTGATGATTTCAAGTAAAACTTGTCTTAATGCATAATCTATGAAAAATTTCCTCCCGAATTCCAATTTTTAAGCATCAAAAGGTTAGTTCGAACTTTTTTCCGCCATAAGAATCCTCGTAATTTCGAAACTTTGAGCATGTATTTCTCGAAATAGCAAAAACTGCACTTATGAGCCTTGTCCTCCAAGCTCCTCAATTTTCCTTCTACCACAAAGTTGGTCAATTCTTCCCTGAATATGAGATAAAAAACAAACCATTTCCCTGTTTGAAAGACCCGTTTATCTGACCACAACAGTGCGAAAATGCTGAACTTGTGGGCACAAGGTTTCCGAATTTTTCTTGGCCATTAGAGATGAAGAAGGTAAATACGTCAATTCTGCCGTGCTAAGGAAAAACGCCGTATGAACATTCGAGAGTTGCCAAATTTCCTTCGATAAAATATGTATTTTTGATGATATTCATGCATATTTTTCCTTGAAATTTTCAGATATTTTAGATTGAATTGTGTACAAAATTGTCTAAAAAAATTGAAGAAAAAAATTCAATATTTTCCAAGTAAGTTAAGGTTTTATTGAAGGAAATGTGGCAACGTCTGAAGTTTCATATGCACGGCAGAATTACCAAAGACCTGCATGTTGTAAACTCCACTAACCCAATGGTTACAGATTCACTTTTGGTCAAAATAGCCATGAAACTGGTGCATTATTAGTAGCGCATTAAAATAGTGTCCCTATTACTTTTTAAGGCATTATGAGAATAAACCTTGGACAAATGTATAAATTTGTCTTGTTTCCCATTCAGCCAACAGTCATCAGTACCTGACACTACCCTCAATTAATTACTACCTGTTTAGTATAGGTTCCTACAGATGTCAGCTGAAGCTTTGTCACTGTTTCTATGATGAGGTGTGGACCAGCATGACCACGGCTAATGTGTTAGGCATTAAAGAATATTCAAAACTGTTTCTAGAGGTTTTCCCAACTTGTGATATTGCAATGGCAGATAATAACAGATAAACAGATATATATTTCTGAATTTTACTTATTTTTAGAAAATTTATCTGTTCTGTAATTATAATTATTATGACAATTATTATCATCAAATTAATTTCATATGAAATTAGCTGTGAGATTTTTCGGATTCTTGGGAGATTGTTTTTTGGTCTTATGGAAAAATCACTACCTAAAAAATGAATGGCTGATACTTCATTAAAAAACTGTATTTTTATGAATGACAGCCATAGCAAATTGTTAATTTGCAAAGACAAAATCACTAGTGCACACTGTAATGGTACACACTCAGTGTATTTTCATTGGCAGTCAAAAAATCAAAGGTGATAAAATTGAAAAACAAACTTACACTTTTCTGCAACTCTATCCTTCATAAGTTGAGCTTTCTGGGCAACTTCTTCCTGCTCAACAGGTCTCAGCCTTTCTTGGAGATAATTAGTTAAAATGATTGCATCATTCCTTAAACAAGCAATGGACTCATCTGATAAACAAATAACAATTCAAATTAAGTGACCAAGAAAATTTACTTGGGAATGTTTATTGAAATACAAGGGCAGGTTTAAATGTACATTCACCTTTTTTTTTTTTCTTTTTTGCATAAGCAAACACACTATCACACACACACACACACACCCTCACCCTCACACACACACATTTCTGGCACATTTTCACATTTTTGGCACATTTTCTAGGCCTCTGAAATTTTCTGCACCACGCATGGTTTTCGCAAAAAGGTCAGCACAACGCGCTGATTTGACCTAAAAACACTAAACAAAAAATAACAAAAAAAACCTCCCAGCCTCCGCAATTCAGGTAGGTAGGTAGGTTAATACCTACCTACCTTAAAGGTTTTCAAGATAGTAATAGTTGTTCTTTGGTATTTAATACTTTTTGCAGTGGCAAATCATTGTGATCCCTTATCAGGATCCATTTCTCGAGTTATGATACAGAATTTTGCTCAAGGTTTGCAAAATTATTTAGTCTTCTGAGCAGGGCTGGATTAACCGTAGGGGCAAAGTGGGCCTGTGCCCACAGCGGCAAATTTTCGGGGGCGGCAGAAATCAAGGAAAAAAGAAAAAAAAAAAAAAAAAAAATTCCGCCCCTGAAAATTTGAAATGAAAAAAAAAGTCAAAAGCAAAGTCACAAAAGACGTTTATCCGTCGATGTATATAGATATCGATATCGAACGGGGGTGGGACCCCCGCGTGGGAACCTGGTCAGGCAATCTAATTACACTTTTTCAATTACTTGTTTTTCATATTTTCAATACAATACAATAAACTAGTGTCAGTAGAGTGGTGCCTGACATCCCTTTACACAAATGAGTTTATTATTTAAAATCATCTAAAGTTAAGTTCTTGATTAAACAATAAACCCATAATAAAACTTGGATTAAAAGCTAAAAAAATTATAGCCTCATTTTTGGACATTTTTAAGTAAAAAATGGGCTAAAATTGCGTCTTACAGTGGTCAGATTTTCCAAATTTTTCGGGGGGGGGGGCATCCCCCCGCCGGGCCACCCCTCCGGGGCGACAAATTTCCGCGTGTCCACAGCAGCAAAATCGTTAATCCAGCCCTGCTTCTGAGGCAGAAACTGTAAAGGGAACAACTATAAATACTGCCCTAAATCTTTGTGAAAGACTCTTTTCCTTTCTGCTTTGGAGAAATTTCCAAAGGACAGGTCTTTATCGGACTCTAATCTCTTAAGATTACTCGGAGATCAATTTTTCAACCCTAATCAACAATTTCCCATTCATAGTGACCCAGAAATGATTTGCTACAAAAAATGTTGGTTAAAAATAGTTCCATAGAGTACGGAAAGTCAGAGTAAGCAAAGAATAAAAAAGGTTTTACCAAAGAGCATACCTTCCAAGACCTTTTTAATGGACTCATATATTTTTTCCGGGACTTTGTAAGCTGGAGTTAATACTCGCCCTGGATGACGTCTAGGGTGCATAGTCTCATCTTTAAATTTCTTAACTAACTCCGGGTCAAAATGAGGAACAAGCTTCATTTTCGTTGAGAACTGAAAATTCAAAGGAAATAAACAATTTTGAGAACAGTTGATGTAAGCACAGAGTAGGATTTGTTAACTGATAGTGAGATAGACCCTTGCCAACATATTGAAGAAAAGATGGGGTGCGACATAGGGCAATATCCCTCCACAATTTTGAGAAGTTTATTACTTAGGGAGATTTCTTCAAATTTTCCTTCCACAAACATTAAAAGACTCAGATACACTAAAATTAAATTCTGTGCGTATCTCCGGATATAAAAGATCCCGAAAATTACTGATTTTTCTTTCTAAGTCAGATGGAATGTGTTGTAATTCAAGCTTGGACAGTTAAGAGACGATTGCATTTTGTAGCAGAGAATGGTAATAGCAGGCTGAATTTTTTGAAAATTATTTACCCTTCTTGATGCAGATGCTCAAAGGGTAGGAGGACTAGGCGGGAAATTTTGGAACGGTGACTTGGATAACGAAGGCCAAAGTGCGAAACCATGTTTCTCCATGGTAATGTTTCAAAATTTCCGCTCCTACTTTACTTTTTGACAGAAAAACGATTTAACTTCTTAGCTTTTTATCTATCCAAAATATTCTACTAATAGGGAAGAAAAATCAAGCAAGTTTTCAGGAAATTATGTTCACTAGTTCGCCAAAGAAAAAACAAAGTATGACAGGGAGTTTACACCGTCACAAATAGAACATAGATGCATGGTTTTGCGCTTTAACGATCATCAATTGGCAAAAGATTGTAAACACAACAGATGTGCCTACATAACTGCTCTGAGGGTGTGGAGTTTGCATACCAATGAATATGCGACTGAAAGCAATGAATGTGCGAGCCGTAAGCATGTTGTAAACAAGATTTAAGAGTGAAATTGAAACATCCTAGGCTACTACGCTCTTCAGATTGGAGTTTGGTTGAGAAATGCGTCCTGTATTCGAAAAGTATATCTTGAAAACTTGTCCTCAATTCAAAGAAAGCCTGACCGTCCTGTGTGAATACACACCAACTGCTCCGCGACTAAATAACAGATATGAGCTCATGAAACTACACACAACCAATGTTACTTAAAAAACTGTGTCCATTCCGTCTTTTGCACCTCTTGGAGCATGAAAAAGTGTCCTGATTAATGAGTTGTAATGACTTACTCTCCTCCATGCAGTGAACATAGCTGAACAACATCGAACGTAGGCAAACTTCTACTAGGCAATAGGAGGACAGCTACCAAACTCTCAGTCTCTTAAAACTATTGATACGAAATTTGGTGGTGATAATCAGTAAAAGAGGGATTATAAATTCAACTAAGCGAGCGGAATAAATAAAAATCGGTTATCCCGTGGTAAGGAAGTGCCCGAAAAGGAAATATCTAAGATGAATAAGTTGTAATATAAATGGTGTAACCTCAAAACGGAACCAAAACATGCTGATAAGAAGACATGCCGCAAAGTGAAAGTGAAGTGGGCTACAGACAGAGACAGAGTTACCTACAAAGTTGATGTCCGATGTTCTCGGAACAGGTAGTATTCTGAGAGATCCGGAACCTTCATAAACCAGCGGAATTTGTTCCGGGATCAATGTTTACCGTTAATTAATTAGATTAATTAATTAATCCATTTTGGAGTCCTCTATTCTTATGAGAAAAAGAAAATCAAATCATCCGAGTTGACAGATTATATTTATTGAGGATAGATATCGAAGACCATCCTCCGAAAATTTCGAGAAAATTCAAAGGGGAAATTTCATGCAATGTTGTTGAATTGCTCCATCATCCATAATTCGCGAGTCGCGTATATTCAGGGCAGGCTCTGAGGTTCTCAAATTTTCATTTGTGCATCCCCTTTGACTTTTATTTTTATGAGAAAAAGAAAATCAAATCATCCGATTTGACGGATTATATTTATTGAGGATAGATATCGAAGACCATATCCTCTGAAAATTTCGAGAAAATTCAAGGGGGAAATTTCATGCAATGTTGTTGAATTGCTCCATCATCCATAAATCGCGAGTCGCGTATATTCAGGGCAGGCTCTGAGGTTTTCAAGTTTTCATTTCTGCATCCCCTTTGAGGCATAAGATATTGAGTATGCACACCCAGAATCATCCTTGGAAAATTTCGAGAATATCCAAGGGGAAAATCTCCAGGAATGTTGTCCCATTGCTGCATCATTCATAATTCGCAAATCGCGTAAATTCAGGGCAGGCTCTGAGGTTTTCAAGTTTTCATTTGTGCATCCCCTTTGACGCATAAGATATTGAGTATGCACACCAAGAATCATCCTTGGAAAATTTCGAGAATATCCAAGGGGGAAATCTCTAGGAATGTCGCATTGCTGCATCATCCATAATTCGCGAATCGCGTAAATTCAGGGCAGGCTCTGAGGTTCTCAAAGTTTCATTTGTGCATCCCATTTGATACATGAGATATTGAGTATGCACACCTAGATTCATCCTTGGAAAATTTCGAGAAAATCCATATGGGAAATCCCTAGCGATGTTGTCGAATTGCTCCATCATCCTTAATTCGCGAGTCGCGTAAATTCAGGGCAGGCTCTGAGGTTTTCAAGTTTTCATTTGTGCATCCCCTTTGACGCATAAGATATTGAGTATGCACACCCAGAATCATCCTTGGAAAATTTCGAGAATATCCAAGGGGAAAATCTCCAGGAATGTTGTCCCATGCTGCATCATTAATTCGCAAATCGCGTAAATTCAGGGCAGGCTTTGAGGTTTTCAAATTTTCATTTGTGCATCCCCTTCGACGCATAAGATATTGAGTATATATGCACACCCAGAATCATCCTTGGAAAATTTCGATAAAATCCATGGGGGAAACCTCAAACAATGTTACCACATCCATTGTCAATACGAGACAAGTCGCGTAAATTCGGAGCAGGCTCTGTCGTTTCATCAATTTCATTTGTTTATCCGATTTGACGGATTATATTTATGGAGGATGGACATCGAAGACCATCCTCTGAAAATTTCGAGAAAATCCAAAGGGGAAATTTCATGCAATGTTGCTGAATTGCTCCATCATCCATAATTCGCGAGTCGCGTAAATTCAGGGCAGGCTCTGAGGTTTTCAAAATTTCATTTGTTCATCCCCTTTGACACATAAGATATTGAGTATGCACACCTAGATTCATCCTTGGAAAATTTTGAGAACATCCAAGGGGGAAATCTCTAGGAATGTTGTCGAATTGCTGCATTATCCATAATTCGTGACTCGCGTAATTTCAGGGTAGGCTCTGAGGGTTTCAAAGTTTCATTTGTGCATCCCCTTTAGACACATAAGATATTGAGTATGCACACCAATAATCATCCTTGGAAAATTTAAAAAAATCCAAGGGGGCAATTTTCTGCAATGTTGCCGAATTGCTGCATCATCCATAATTCGCGAGTCGCGTAAATTCGGAGCAGGACTGTCGTTTCATTAATTTCATTTGTTCATCCAATTTGAAAGATTTTATATTGAGTATGGACACCCAGAATCATCATCAGAAAATTTCGAGAAAAACAAAGGGGGGCATCACGAGCAATGTTGCCGTATCCATTATGATGCATGATGATTCTTGAATTGGCCGCCAAGAATTTTTTTTATATCTTTATTCAAGCTAAATTTTTCTTGATACATGAATAAAAATATTGAATTGAGCATGTATATAGTTTGTAATAAGCTGATTATGATCAGAATTCTTGATTCAAGGGAGAATACTTCTTGGCGGCAAATTTAAGATTTTTTTTTCTTTCAGTGATTATTTACTGAGACGTAGCCCCTTAGTGATTCAAAATCTACGAAACTTCATCTCTCTTTTGTAAAGAGATTAAGATTTTAGTAATCTATTTTTAATCCTGCAAAACGTTCATGGTTTAAAATTAATGAGTTTCTCACTCATAGTCACTCTTATTTTTCAACCAATGTTAGTCGTTGTTGAAAATTGAATGTCTCTTTTTGCAACGTTGATGATTTCTTGACACATTGCCTGTGTTACTTACGATAAGCTAAGGAACATTATTTCTTGACATTTTTGCTGGTTATCCTGCATCATGTGCAGAATATTTGGTAAAATTATGAATAATTCACTGATTTTCAGTGTAAGGAAAAAATTTAAATGAAAATGAAACATCATCAGCTCTTCTTGAAACATTCCAAATGAGGAAAGTGTTTTGAGACTTTCGCCATAAAGCCATCTCAAGACAATCAGATTCAGAAAATAGGGAGAAATAAAAAATTTGTGGCCTTCAGGAACAAAATGCGACTATTATTAGTCAATAAATGACTGGAAGAATTTAAAACACACATGAAAAAATATTTCACTCACTAATATTAGTCATGAGAAAAAATGGTGTATGAAAAAAGAGATGTTGATAAATAGACATAAGGTAGTAGAAAAAAGAAAATTTATTTAAGTTCTTGAAAACAAAACAAAAAATCAGTAATTCCCTGTTGACTTGCTAACGTAATGATATTTCAAGGGGATACAAGTACAAAATATGGGTTGAACATGCTAAAGAAAGGCTCAGGTGAAATTTACCATATTTGCACTGTTAGTCTAAGAACGAGCTTGTTTACATGAGCGCATGAAATTTATTCAAGTTTCCGAAAATAGGAATAAAAATCAGCATTACTCTGTTGACTCACTAACGTTATGATATTTCAAGGGGATACAAGTACAAAATATGGGTTGAATGTGCTAAAGAAAGGCTTAGGTGAAATTTGCCATATTTGCACTGTTAGTCTAAGAACGAGCTTGTTTACATGAGCGCAAGAAATTCATTCAAGTTTCCAAAAAAAGGAACAAAAATCAGTGTTACACAAGCAACTCACTAATGTATTTAAACACTAATAAATGAATACTATAATTAGCAAGTAAACAAAATGACCATTAAATTTAAAAAAAATATATATTGTTTAAAAAAGGCAGTAAGAGAGAAGTAAAACAATTTTGAGCAGCGTCAATTCCGTCTAAAAGTAATCATTGAGGAACGAAAATAGTTGGCATTTTCTTTCAAGACATGTGTTCTAGGCTGCCTGATTCAAGCATCTGAAAACATGAGAAAAGAAATAATCATCAACTGTCAAGTAAGTGGAATAGCAGAGCAAGTTACGGTTATTAAAGTAATAGTCATTTGATCAGACAGGGTTGCCACAAAATTTAGAAAATGAAATTCCCCGACATTTCCCTGATACATTTTGGTGAAATTCCCTGACAAATGAAGATATGGCGAATGGCTAAGAAGACATAGTTTGACAAAAATTTGTAGTTTGAAACATCAAACCCAATATAAAAAGCAAATGAAGAAGATTCAACAAATTTTCCCTGACATTTCCCAGTTTTCCCTGACTTTATAAAATTCCCTGACTGTGGCAACCCTGCCCCTTATGAGGTGTTGCCAAGTTATGTAAACCATAATTCTAAGTTTCAAAATTCATCTTTTCTGGCGTTTATCATTTCATAATTGAGTCATGTTGTGCGAAAGTCTGTAATGTATATTTTTCCAGCTTTTAGTTTTCTTGTGCTCATAATAATTTTCAAGATTTGACACCACCATCAAAGTGTAAAGCAAGTAATAATGCCACATTCATCATCAAATTCAACTCTCGAATGTATTATCAACTCAAAAAAACTCAAGACAGGAAGAATAGACATGAGCGGCCTCTGCATGAAACGATTGAAATTTGTGTAATTCATGATGAGCCAAGGATTAAAACATCACTGGTCAAGAGGACCACATACCTTGAGAGCCAAAAAAGTAATTCTATTTTATCAATGGCTGCCTCACCAAAAGTTTTTTTTTCTCTTCCTATAAAGAACATACGTGTCTCTTACGCCATTCACTGTCATCTGCCTATTTCTAGTTGGATGAAGTTTTCTGCATCCACAAGTCCACTGGACAATGAACTGACATACCGGTACGCTCTTTGAAAAAACTCAATAATCTTCCATTAGTTTTATTCCTCCTTCAGCTTTGGCTTCAAAACATCATCTTAGAGGAATGCAAATAGTCTAGGATTTTTGACGTTTTGAAAACTTGACTTAATTATATCAGGCCAAGGCTTATAACCTTTAGTAATTCAAGGTCTTCGTATTATAATTTGCCATTTTCCCTTCGAAAGCTTCTCTTATCTCAATTTCAAGGATATGAAGGGGGAAAAAACATGCATGAAATCTCTCTTCAAAATTTTCTGGAGGATAATACCATCATCATTAAATTTACACAAGTTTCGTACCTAATCCTCATTTGCAACCGTTTTGTCACCACAAGCTCCACATTTCCAATTGAGAAGTTCTCACTTCCGAAAATTTGTATCTGTAGCATCCGTTTCATCTCACCGCATTATTTCGAAACATATCTCAGTTGACGAATACGAAAAGTGTCCTCAGTATCAGAAAATTTAACACAACAAAAATAATAAAC